GCGCTTCCGCAAACAACTACCGACCAGTAAGCCTCACCTCCATATGCTGCAAAGTTATGGAGCGAATAATCAAACGCGAACTGATGCGGTTTTTAGAGCAAAATCATCTTCTGTGCGATGCACAGCACGGTTTCCGCAGAGGGAGGTCCTGCTTAACCAATCTACTCTACTGTCTTGAACAGTGGACCCGAGCGATTGATGAAGGAAACGTTGTGCATGTGGCCTACATAGACTTCAAGAAGGCATTTGACAGCGTGCCACACCAACGTCTCCTACACAAGCTCAGCCGCATAGGGGTAAGAGGCAAGCTTTTGAAGTGGATTGAAAACTTTTTGGTCGGTCGGTCCCAGACTGTTCGTCTTGGTGGCCAGCACTCGGCAGAGGTGACGGTTACGAGCGGAGTACCTCAGGGCTCCGTTCTTGGCCCTATCCTCTTCCTCATCTATATTGATGACTGTATCCATGGATTGGACTGCAAGATTGCCATGTTTGCTGACGATATAAAGCTTTGGACCGTCATCCGCAACGAGGACGATGAAGCAAATTTACAGGCAAACTTAGACCGACTGGAAAAATGGTCAGGCCACTGGCTCCTCCCATTTAATGTTACCAAATGCAACATTCTGAGGATTGGCAGAACCAGTTCTGCGCACCGGCAGACGTACTATCTAAATCACACACCGCTGCCACTGGTAGACGTTCAGAAAGACCTAGGGGTGTGGATAACATCTTCACTAAAGCCATCATTCCACTGCTTGAAAGCAGCGAAATCCGCAATGTCCAGCTTATATCTCATCAAGCGGGCATTTGCCAAGTTCGATGAAGAGTGCTTCCGCAAGGTCTTCGGGATGTTTGTGCGCCCACAGTTAGAATTTGCCATTCAGGCCTGGAGACCCTGGACTGTTAAGGATCGTACCACCCTCGAAAAAGTCCAACGACGGGCAACCAAGCTTGTCAGAGGTCATAAAAACCTACCTTACGAAACCAGACTTTCAAATCTAAACCTCTTTCCCCTGGACTACAGACAACTCCGTGGCGACTTAATTCAAACGTTTAGAATGTTACGGGGTCAGGACTGCTGCCTCGCATCCGGCGACTTCTTTGAGCTGGCCACCACTACTAGCTTGAGAGGACACCCTATGAAACTACGTGTGACAGGAGCGAGACTGGACGCAAGAAGGTCCTTCTTCAGCCACAGAGTGGTAAAGGCGTGGAACGCCCTACCTTTGGATGTCGTCATGTCCTCATCCGTGGACTCATTTAAGAGAAAGCTTGACCAGTACAGGGATATGTACCTCCACAGCATCAGAAACTAACAAACCCCCCCTGTGCCACCCGTCCCATCCAACGTTTTGTGTTACAAAGCATGCTACTCCCTATATTTTAGTAACATTACGTTTTGCAATTTTCGCTATCGCCTGACCGCCACATATGCGCTTGCTTTGATATTACTCGGTCCATTCATTGCCGTACTGGATCTTGTACAATCTTGACACAGAAGGCATTCACAGACAAATTCATACCAGTGACCAATGCTTGTTGTATGTAATTACTTACCTAATTTTTTTCACACTTGCCTTACACATTGTTTTTTATGACGTTATTGTAACCAAAAGGGAGTTCAAAGGCGTTCGCCTACTTTTCCCTTAATAAATCTGATCTGATCTGATCTGAACAAAAGTGTTAATTTTCCGGTTTTTCAGTCCATCCATCGTGCCCTCACAGAATGCGATCTATCGACCCTCTTGGCGGAACCTTCTGTATTTGCCATACACAAGTAGTGTGGTCATATCTCCCTTGCCTCCTCTTCGACCGGATTCGGCTGTATGCACCCGATTGCATCTGGGTTGCCATCGCCTCGAGACTGTCTTTCAACTCGTCACTTTGACGTGAATGGCCTCATCCGACATATAAATTCTGACTTGATGAAGCCAGTTTCGAACCCCATTATTATTATTATTATTAATAGTATTAGTATTATAAATACCAATAATAATGATAACTTTTTATTAAAAACCCGTGGGGGTCCCATCAAAGCCACATACAGATCAGTCCTGCCTGATCCGCCTACTTACCCCTGCATGAAATACGTTATATAATGCCATGTATATGCCCATCCTGCCTGGTTTCTATATATTAACGAACGGGAGTTTTTTACTCTATAGTTCTTCTCCAATCATGCTCATTTTTTGTTAGGAGTGTTTTTTCACTAATCGCTCAACATTCTTCGTAACATAATACTTATTCTATAAATATGAATTAATTATTGTTTACATTCTGTATTCGTCGTCTAGAATTCTTTAACTAATGTGGAAGTTATTCTTACTTGCTATGATAGGACCCCCACGGGTCTTGGATAAAAACTATTATTATTATAACCTCCTCATTAAATCCGTTATACAATGCCATATACAGATCGATCTTGCTTGCTTTGTTACGTGATAAAAGGCGAGACTATTTTTTCTCGTATATGTTTAATCCAATCATAGATATTCTGTTTATGTTAGGAGTTTTATTTCCCCTGTTCGTACAACATTCTTCGTAACATAGTACTTATTCAATGACTGTGAATAACCTATTGTATAAATTAACTTAAACTCGTCTAGAATTATAAAAATAATGTAAAAGTTACTCTCACTTACTATGAACGACCCCAGCGAGTCTTGAATAGAAATTATTTTTATTATTAAAAAGAAAATTCGCAATCTAAAAACGATTGTTATTCTAAGAGTTAGAGTAGGATATCAAGCATCACCGGCGCCTGCTATGGAGACAGCACATATTTGTAGCAACCGCTGGCTTAATAAGAACAATGATTAACAGGGAATGGAGCACCAGTCGCAACATTATTGTCTTCCGATCCCTAGAGACGGTGGTCGAACCAGTTTGAAATTCTCATCATTCGAACTAACAACTACCACACCTGATATCATCATTTAGCGACAGGTTGGCATCCAGCAACAAGCAGAAGTAGAATAAGCCATTTTAATGCCGACTTACTACACTTAATCAGATGGGGTTCAAAATGGCAGATAGAGTTTTCATCATCCAAAGTGTAGTTTAATGTTTTTTGGTCCTGCTAAACTTCCTGGTCTCATAATATTTCAGAATGACCCACACTCAGAATGCCTCACCATAAAGGACCTAGGTCTATGTTTTACAAGTAAGCTTGCTTTATTACCTTATGCAGATAGAAGCTCTGCCAAAGCCGCGCAGATATGTGGATTCATATCGCATAATTTACCCTTCCTGAAATAAAGCTAAGAATTAATAAAATGTTTGTTCTTCCAGTCCTCGAATACTGCTGTCCTTTCTTTGGTTTAATGAACGCCTGCGACCGTACTGAATCGAAAATTTTCAGAAAGTTTTCACACGGAAACTGTTCTCTCATGTCTCACCCGGTACCTCTTATACTCAGAGATGTCCGCTGGCGAAAATTAAGTTTTTGTGGGTTAGGAGACTGTAAGCTGGCCTTTGCTTCTGTTTTCTCATTAACTCTAGCTCCAGTCTTCCGCTCATTGACACTCTCACTCCGAGAGATCGGTCTTATGCCATGCACAACTCCTCCATGGTGATTCCGCCGACTTATTGCACTATATCTAAGCGCTCCCTCTATTTTGCTCCCAAATATGCCTTCCTTTGGAATTATCTTCCGCCAGAAAATAGGTCATCGCCTAAGTTACTGGTCTTCAAGTCTAAATTACGCAAAAACTGTACACCCGAAAACATAAAAGCGCTGTTAACGGTCTCATTCCCGAACACTCAGCAACTTGACATCGAGAAGGGTCCTCCTGGGATTTAGTGGTAGATCAAGTGGAAACCCCCAATTTTATCATTAGAAACCCCCGTTGTGACGTATCTTCTAAATCCACTGTTATCACTCCTTCCCCATAGCGGTTTTTGATGTCATCTTCCATATTGCGACCTCGTGCCGCCTGTCGACGCTAACGGCGGAAACCTCAGTATTCGCCGTCTACTAGTTGTTTGCTCGTACCTCCCTTCCCCACTCCTCGGCTGAGCTCGAGGCGTACTGTAGGCGATCGCGTCTCTTTTCATCTCGTTTGGCCTCCTTGCCGCGAATAGTCTCATCCGGCGTGTCAATCCTGCCCTGATGATATCAGATTATAATCAAGGCTGACATTTATTTCTGCCCTGAGGCTATCTATATTGAGTGCCGAGTCTGAAATTAGAGAGTGAGCCCAAGATTCAGTAATGCACAATACGTCTCAGTCAAACTCAATAGCCACATTTCTTAGTTGTGCCATCTTTTGCACGACTGATCTTGCGTTGAGAGAGACAATACTGAGCGTATTCCTAATATGTAGGTTCCGTTCATTGTTACTTATAAAAAGGGAGAGGTGGTCTTGGTGGCCAGCAATCGGCAGAAGTGACGGTTACGAACGGAGTACCTCAGGGCTCCTTTCTTGACCCTATCCACTCATTGCTACTTATAAAATAGGGAGAGCTGGTGATGCAAAATGAAGCTGCTGGGACGATCACATTAGTTCGCGAATAAGTTTGCTTTCTTTCGTCTGCTATTTTCAAAATGACATAAAAATGCAGTCAAAACTGGTGCGTAAACTGCTCCACAGGCACAAGCTAATCTTGGGGTCCTTAAGGACCATGGAGATAGAAAGAGCTATGGCGGGAGATAGGGAGATACCAGGGCGTGCATTGCTGCTATGCGGGAGAATGTCTTATTAGCTGCCCCATTAACCGAATAAAAGACGTACGAGGACGCCGTCTTTCGCCCACTTCTGGTTCCGTTACTGATACTGATTGCCGCAAACTACGTACTGCTGTTTAAATGTCAAATGTCGCAAGTCGATCTAGTTCAGGTCCTAGCAAGGGTTACCTTGCCCGGCTGCTTGCATAAACATTTCCATGTTGAAACAGCACTCAGTCACACAATATGAGACACATTACAGGAAAGAGCGTTGAAGAAGAAATGTGAAGTGTGCGTAAAAGGATTTACAAGACTCATGGGTACAGGTTTGATATCTGCCGTCGTGGTTCGCTAACGTCGCCGGCTCTGACTGCCACAGATTGTTATGCTAAATAGAGGAAACCGACAATGCGTTATACGTAACCCAGACACGGTTTAAACAAATCTGTGCAACGTGATTATAACCTACTCCTGAATCGGCTGGAATTGCCTCTTGCAATGTCTCCCTTCTGGTGCCTGGACGGTACGCTGCCATTCAATCGTCGATTTCACTTACTTCCCCCTGTGTGATCCCATACTACAACGATATTTTACGAAGAAGGACAATTTTCTGACTAGAATTTCCAGGATGCTTCTCATGCCGCTACTGAAATCTAAATCCAGCAAAGTTGTTTCGCCTAATTCGACATGGATACCCTTAAATCTCCAGCAATATGTCGCAGGAAAACGACCATGCACGATTGTCCTTCCTGTCCTCAAATGCTGCTGTCCCCTCTTTGGTTGAATGAACGGCTGTGACCGTAATAAAATCAAAATGCTAACAGGGTTCTCTCTCGGAAACTGTTCTCTCGTGCTTCGTCCAGGGGTTCATATACTCAGGGATGTCAACTGGCAAACATTAAGTTTTTGTGAGTTAGAAGACTCTAAGCTGGCCTTAGCTTCTTTTTTCGCATTAACCCTAGCTCCATTCTTCCGCTCATTAGCACTCTAACTCCGAGAGATTGGTCTCATGCCGCGTTTAACCCATCCGTGACGATTCCGCTGCCTCTGAATTACATCTAAGCTCTAACTCCCTTTTGCTGCCTAATATGCCTTCGTTTGGAATACTCTTCCGCCAGAAATTTCGTTGCAACCCAAGTTATCTGTATTCAAATCGAACTTACGCAAACGCCTTTCACCGGAATGTATAGAGGCAAATTTAACCGTCTAACTCCTGAACAATCAGCTTCTTGACTTCGAGGAGTGTCCTTCTGGAATTTAGTGGTAGATCAAGTGGAAAACACCACTTATATCTTTACAACCTCATTTTTCGTTTTGGCCACTGCTATCACTCCTCCCCCATAGCGTCGAGTTTCGCCGTCCTTGATGTAATCTCACTTGAAGGGACCTCGACGAGTCTTTAATAAAACACTTATTATAATTATTATTTTGACCTTAAGAGGTTTGTCGACGATCACGTTTGAAAGCACTGTAATCGCCTTCTACTAGTAGTTTGGTCGTTTCTCCCTTGCCCACTCCTCAGCTGGGCTCGAAACGGACTGTGACCGATCGCGTCTGGGTTCCTCTCGTCTCGCCATTTTGACGCGAATCAAACCATTTTTTATCCTACAATGGAGTTTGTTGCACTACTAGCTCATCACTTCTATTAACGGACTACTAATTCGAAAGTTATTAATTGCATATTGTGCAGATTCTGCGCACCTCGTCTAAAATTCATAGGAAAATTTATTGTGCTTGCTATGAAGCGACCACGATGGGTCTTTAATAAAATTATTTTACTCATTTATTGGTGGTTGCGAGTCTGCAGAGACTCAAAAACCGAATTTCAGGTGCTGAGCTCAGACCTGTTACCACAATTTTCATTCAGCATCGAATAGAAGATATTTATGTGAACTATTTAGCTGTATGTATATCATCCCGATTGCTGAAGGATTGTACCTGAAATTTCGGAATTAAGGCTAGACAAAACCACATACTATTTCTTTTTCTCTCTTTTTCTCTGTCACTGTCTCTCGATTCCTCACACATAAGTTTGTGGCCGGGCTCATTCAAGCAGTAGATGTACATCACATAAAGCGAATTAGAAAGTTGCCCTAACTAGCCAGTTTTCGCTCTCAAAAGTATTCGTTATTCTAAGAGTTAGAGTTAGATATTAACCGTCACCAGCGCCTGCTATGGACACAGCTTATCAGCACATCTTTGTACCAACCACCGGCTTCATATGAGCAATGAGTAACAGGGAATATAATCATTTAGAGCCCCAGTCGCAACATTGTTGCCTTCCGATCCCTAGAGACGGTGGTGGAACCATTTGGAAATTCTCATCATTCAAGCCAACAACTACTACCACATCTGATATCATCATTTAGCGACAGGTTGGCATCCAGTAACAAGCAGAAGTAGAATAAGCCATATGGTTTCATACAGATTTTATTGAATAAGAGGTGTTTTGAAATCGGATTTCTATTACAGACATGCACTACTGCCCTAATCACATACGGTCGCTGTGCAGGCCATACTACTACACAATACAGGAACACATCGCATGCATCGGAACTGCAAAGCACACAGAGGTGCCCATTAGGCGGTGGCAGCATCGAGAAAAATCACTGTTTCGCGCTAGCCTCCTCATCGCCCGCATACTTGCCGCAACCGGACTTATGCGAAGCACTTGCAACCAACAGTGCATTTTCAGTTGGTTTGGCCACTGTGCCCAGCGCGAACAGGATGGTCTCCAGAGATCTGAAGAGACAAACTGCACTGCCCCATTCAAACATGAGGATGTGCGCATTATAGCAAATATCATCCAGCAGAAATTCTTACTCATAACAGGGCACACTACGCAGCCAATCAAAGATGTGGAAGTTGGAGGCAACAGTTCAGATGGTGTCCATGGAAGTGATGGTTGAGGGGGCAACTGTGATTAGATAAGGACACGAGATTTCGATAGTGAGGAGACGGACTCTAATGTCTCACTGTATGACAGGTCACATATGTCTCGCGTCGTAGTAAATTTCAAGGACAAATTTCCCTATTTCCTCATTGCTTGCATTTGCACGGCCATATCTGAATTGGAGCCTGTCTTTAGATAGTCAGATTTTCCCAAGACTCACCTTCCTATGTAGATGGCTGACTGCCTGTCACCAATCACTTCTTAGTTTAAGTATAAGGCATATTTTGCTTCTGGGTTTTCCCAATTGCAGGTCACTTAAATGACATTAAGAATTTGGGAGGAGTCTTCTTGCTGAACCATATGAAATATTGGACTTCATGCACTGGACTTGGCGAGCGAAAGGATTACGCTTGACAGGGAAAATGGTATAGGGCTAGATGTCGGTATCTTGTGCAAACGCATTGCATGTGGTGTTCAAAACAGCCCTACTGTTGATGTTGCAGTTCTGTCCGGAAAGTTAAGGGAAAACAGAGAGCCTTCGTTTGCCCCGAGACTAGGGCGCCGAATACTACACGGCTTTACGCGCCAGGGACATATGCAAATGTTTTAATCAAATTTATATTTCGTATCTGCCCATAAGTCTGACTGCGGGCTATTCGGCGTCCGCAGTGTCAGCGAATGTTAAGTGAATCTTAGATGAGGCTGCCTGTAAATAAGATCAGCCACACTTTTTGCGAATGAACAGCCACGAATGCATCGTTATTGCCACCGGGGTATGGACATCTGTCATCTGGCACACTGATTGCCTCAAAATGCGTCGAATATCCGATGACGTCAGTTGCAAATTAATGACTCAGAACTGTCGCCATGTAGACGCTCTTTAGGACGCTGTGTTTAAGTTACGGCGAGCCAATGCACAAGAAGAGACAATGTCGACTACGACAACGACAATCTGGGAAATCGGTAAGGGTTACATATATACAGTCATTGTGACAAATAATGATGGGTACTCCATCAAAGCAGAGCAGCTAATGCATTCATGATAGTTTTTCCTGATTCGCCTATGCATGGGTTTGTGAATATTTAAGTATGATTCCAGGTAATCTACAAGAGAATCCAATCATTACTCATGTAATTGGCGCAGTTCTGAGCAGCCTACCTTAGCCCGTCTAGTCACTCCCGAATCTATAGCACTCAGACTGACAATCCAGCATTTGCGCCCCAAGATACACGGATCGCACGTGCCCCACCCGCGCCCATTGCCTTGGCATGTGCAGACACTACATTAGTCTTTTCGGCCACGTGGCCATACATTGCGGCGGTACCTTAGTGCCATAACGCAAATTAAGAAATTTGCCACACCCAGCAATAGAAGACGTCTAACATCGCCCTCGGGCCGCTTTAATAAACGTATTCCATTTTAATCTGAATTCCAAAACCGCTCATTTTACTCCATATAAGCCTACGGAATCCCTCGGGCTGAAACTAGGTAATTAGTCCCAGGCGCCACGAAATACACACAGAGTGCCTGTCTCATCTGCTCACGCCGTCAAAGGATGTTCAGTCCTCTCTTGGACGGTGGACTGGTGTTTAGAGAGGAAGAAAGTGAAAGAGTGAGGTGAAGTCGACTCCAATGGTTCAATCTACACGAGAATAGTCGCTAATTCGGATTGGAGTACACATTACCGCCGCACTTGATCCATGTCGGCTAATAAGGAGCACCTGAAACACAGAGCATTCTGCACCACGCGCTAAATGTTGTGGATGGAAGACGGTCGGCTATTGAGGCGAAAAGCCATCCGCAGATCCCTTCATTTGAAAACCTGGTACATTATGTGGGATCAAGATCATATGCAATACAGGCAGACAGGCTACAACTGTCAGCTACTGCGCCCGAGTCCGTCTATGATCGCCCTGACTCCGTCTTTTAATTGAGCCATTGCGGGTAGGGTAGAAGAAAGTGGGCAGTTGCTATACAAATTTGCTTTCATTGTAATCTATTAGATGCACGATTCATCATCCTGCGTACGTCACCTTGTGTAAAACATAGTGGATATAATCGTTCTCGATGGCGGAAACGTCGCTTGCGTTTTTGGAGGCGCATTTCCTACTGCGAAGGCATGACAACGAAATAAAGTGCCTCAAATACTATCTCGCCACAATCTCCTTTCAACGAGAACAGGGAAGTTTACATACACCCGATGTCATGCGTTTGCTTATACAGCATGCTCACGCCATCTTCATTTGTTCACGTCAAGCGTTCTCGTTTCACTCGCCTGTCCATTTTAAACAAACGCCACATCTATCAGAAACAGGTGTCAGAACATCAATCGTGTCCCGACACAGCATCTAAGAATTCATCTGTCAACCTAACTCCAAAATCTTCGATTTAGTGAACACTTACGCTACAAGTATGTGATTGTCTGTAATTGCAGCAAGAGACGCGCCTAGTCAATCTACCTTTAACGGAGACGAGTCCTGGGATGATCTCAACATCTAAAGGCAAACTCGATGAAAATGCTTAGCGTACATAAGATCAATGAGGAAATATGGAAAATAGGCCTAAATCATGTAAAAGACGTGGAACCTATGTGATAAGTTATACGGCCAGACACCAGAGTACACGGTGCACTCGTTATCAAAATTCGCCTCCTAATCTACTCGACAGTCCACTTCTCTACCTTCAGTTCCATCTACGTCTTCTGGACTGGTTTTCTCAACTTCCACACTCTTCAATTACTGCCACGTGCGGCCTAGTGTGATTAAGAATTTGAGTGGATAATATCTGCCAAATGAACATACCGTCATGTTTGAATGGAGAACGGTGTGATCTGCCTCATCAAACCGGTGGCGGCCCAGTCCGGTGGACACAAGCGACAAACCCGCCGTAAATACACTTTGTATTGCAAGTGCTCCACACAATCCCGCTCGCGACTAGCATACAGGAAACGAGTCGTCCAACGCAAATCAACGACTCCTCTCGATGCAACCACCATTGCCGACGTGGACGCCTCTGCTGCTGCCGCCGCCACCGCCGCTGCTAATGTTGTTGCTGTAGTTCGTGTTGCTTCTAGTGTCCTTGCCATTCATGTTGCTGGTCCTGCATTTCTGCCTGCCCGCCTGCCTGCGTGACTGTCTGCTTATAGCATAAACGATGAAGCCGATCATGTCAAATCGCTGGCAATCCTGTCCGGTGGACGCAAAGGCTAAATCCGCCGTAGATGCATTTTGTGTCCGAAGTGCTCCAGATAAGCCCGCCGGCGACTAACATACAAGAGACAAGTAGTCCAAGGCCAATCAACAATCCCCCTCGGTGCGACCACCATCGCCAACGTGGACGCCCCTGCTGCTGCTGCTGCTTTCCGCTTTCGACGCAAATGATCAGGCCAACATTGGCTGGTGATCGATGCTTGCAAGCGCGATGTCGCTTTGCTCGATCCACCAGCACAACTGCTGCCTCCGCTCGCTGGCCATCTTCAGGCAACCTGCAGGATAACAAGAAGGTTCTCGTTAGTACTGCATCGCTGCCTCTTTACACATTCAAATGAATACCAAATTCGACCTGCGTACCCGTTCAAATCATCAGTCTGCATTGTACAAAACGCATTTGTGAAGGTTCGGTGGAAAGTGGTGACCACCGGACGAACCTTGTTCTCCACGTTAATGGAAACTTGAACGGCAGTGCCAATTTGGGGTTGTGATATCTAGGAGCAGATGAGTGGATGAAAAGTCCGTGTCAGACAACTTACGCGACGGGCGAGGTGATTATGTAGATGATGAGACCTGATTACGTCGAGGTCCATCAAATCCTCTCTTTGAAGGCATCTCGAGCCTTTAACGGGGAAGTAGTCTGTTATGTATATGAGGCATTAGGATGCACTTACCTGACTGGCAGCCAGCGTTCTGTTCATTTGCATATAAAGTGTGCGGAATAAAGCTTGGAACTGCCTGAGGTGTTGCATAATGCAACTTTGCAGCCGATCCGCTGGAGCTTGGGTCCTCACTTCTCAAAGATGGACTGAGGGTATTTGTGTGCACTTTTCGATCGCCATTGTACTTTTTGTACTTCTTGCGAAGTTTCTGTAGGTTGGTCTTTAACCATCGCATCATATATATTTTCAGCTGGATGCTGGACTTCTGTGGCCTCCTATAAGCTGTCTTGGTCATGGATGACACCAGACCGTCTAAAACCCAGAGGTAGGGATTAATTCGCTCGGTCTCTGCATCATCTTGGTTGGTGGCATCTTTGTAAGCAGCGATAGGGGTTGGAGACATCTTGCAGGTGCCAGTTGTTCGATCACAATGACGGACGTGGTGTTGCAGCAAATCGCAACAGTGTATTTGAAAGCTGATCGATCGCAAGGGCCCTATATGCTGAAGGCATTGCCGCCCACGTGTTTGTTAATGTGGTCGATCAATGAATTCCCTTTGAACGGAGTCACGATGTGAACGACCTGCTGCCTCCCTTGCCTATTTTATTGCAAGTGGTTTTATTGCAGTAAGCACGAAATACGACCGCGTGCGAGCTTGTTTACGGCAGATAAGACGAGAGTAGCGTAATTCATGGAGAGGCATTGGAGAGTGCAAAATGTAAATGAAATTGGCGGAAAAGGATACTAAGCAGAGGATGCCAGGGAAGACATTCCCCCAATGGGATCAAGACAAATTACGCTATGTGAATATGTTTGCGCACATTTCCACAGGACGTTGGTTAGGGGTTATTTGCCTTCTGCGCAACAATGTACCCTGTTTAGGTAACCTGGGTGCTGAAGTGTTAACCGTGCACATTCAATCACATCCTTACAGACAGTAGCGTCAATTATGAGATACATCAAATAGTAATGCGCGAAATTTTACACATCTCTACGCATCACTCGGTTGTATATTCGGAAAAATGATGTAGGTGATATAACATGGAGTTCAATTTACAGCCCCTTAATTATTCAATTTAATTTAATTTATTAAATGCCAGTTTACATGCATTGTCAAGGGAAGCGATTGAACTCAAATCCGACCAGCAGTGAAAAAAAACTCCTGAATTATAAAAATATAGTTGATAGTCGTTTTTGTGATTTGGAGGGTTCAGGAGTAAAAAAAACTGCTGGCGGTAGATTTCCGACCGTCAAGAAGGGGGGGGAGGGGATTGCACGGTATCGGAGATTATCGGACGTCAAATTCCTTTCATGAAGTTGGGGATAGTCAAAGTAGAGGCGTTGAGGAACAGCTGGTGAGTCCGGCCATAGTGTTCAGAGACCACAAACGCCATCGCTACGGTAAAGACGATCAGTGGATTCAGCACTCGAAATTTGAGGAAGCTTTCCTGAATGCAAAAATTGAGTAATATTTCTCTTAAATAAAGGACAATTTTGCAGAGTTTTCACACTCATTGGTAGATTATTCCAAATAGCAATTGCATTTACAGAAAAGAACCGACGATATTTAAGAGCACGTGCCAGAGGCAGAAATAAGAAGACCTCACGGTGACTGTTACGTCGTGGGTGAATATGATGTGTTAAAGAGGTGAGTGGGTTAAATGTGTGATTATACAAGAGTTTAAATAGAAAAATAGTCCTTTTTGTAATTTACGGAACCATAAAGGATCAAGGCCGGCAACGTTCTTGGTAAGACAAATGTCGGTGTTCTGGGGATAAAATTTTCTTGGTAAAAAAGTGTTGAACGGATTCTAATATCTTTCGCTCAGCAGCACGCATGAGACTAAATGAAAACGAACAGTATTCCAGGCCAGGTCTACGGTACATGTTGTAAAGGCACATTCTGATGTCCCTAGTTTTAAAGTTTTGGAGGATAAACCCGGTCGTTCTGCGTGCTTTGGAGACTATTAAGACAAAGTTCTCCGAGAGATTGAGACTCTTGGAGTATGATATGCGCAGATCCTTAATAACCCTGGGCACATTTATCTGCAAATAAACTAAACTGTTTCATAAGACACAAAGAAAAAACTGAGACGCGCTGAGATTTCGAGAATAATTTGCTACGGAAAGCAACACAGAACGCAAAATTACTCTACAGCTATCTTAGAAGAAGACCAAGGAACAGACTCAGAAGCCCCTTAATAAATAGAATAGAATAGAATAGGTTTATTGTAGCGCCCCTTGGGCACTGTCAGTCCCCTTTGAACTCAGGAAAAAAACCTAAAACAAACTCGTCAATTTCAACTGCACTTTGACTTCATTTAAATAAATAAATAAACTTTAATTTAATGCCAGTTTACAGGCATTGTCAAGGGAAGCGATTAAACACAAATCCGACCAGCAGTGAAAAAAATCTCCTGAGCTTAAGGAATAAAAATATAGTTGATGGTGGTTTTTGTGGTTTGGAGGGCTCAGGAGAAAAAAAACTGTCGGCGGTGGTAGAATATCGACCGTCAAGAAGTGGGGAGGTTGCACGGTATCGGAGATTATCGGACGTCAAATTCCTTTCATGAAGTTGGGGATAGTCAAAGTAGAGGCGTTGAGGAACAGCTGGTGAGACCGGCCATAGTGTTCAGAGACCACAAACGCCATCGCTACGGTACAGTCGATCAGTAGATTCAGCACCCAAAATTTGTGGGAGCTTTTCTGAATGCAAAAATCGAGTAATAGTTCTCTTAAATAAAGGAAAATTTTGCAGAGTTTTCACAATCATGGGTAGTTTATTCCAAATAGCAATTGCATTTACAGAAAAGAACCGACGATATTTAACAGTACGTGCCAGAGGCAGAACTAAGAATACCTCACGGTGACTGTTACGTCGTGGGTGGATATGATGTCTTAAAGAGGTGAGCGGGTTAAATTTGTGATTATATAAGAGTTTAAATAGCAAAAATAGTCCCTTTTGTACTATAGGGAACCATAAAGGATCGAGGCCTGTAAGCCGGCAACGTTCTTCCTTAAGCTCGGTCGAAGCGATCATGCAGTGCTTTTATGCGAGTACTTGCTGTATTCTGAACCGTGTACAAAAGACAATACGAGGCCAAATATATGGAAAGGGGACTTTCGCCAAATGAGAGCTGAGGCATCACAAATAGACTGGGATGTTCTCTTCTCCGGAAACGTTAACGAGGACTGGAATTTATTCAAGGATCGTTTACTGCATCTAATGAAGAACCACTATCCCTTATCAAAGCCTAGGATATCCAACCGCCCTCAGTGGCTTACACGCGAACTCAAAAGGGAGATCAACAAGAAAGGTAGATTGTGGAAAAAATTTCGCGAGAACAACAATAATGCAGCGTTTACAGAGTACAAAATTCAAAGAAATAAGGTGGAAAGTCTGATTTTCAGGAGGCGACGGGATTTTGAGAGTAATTTGCTCCACCAAGCCGTTAAAAATCCGAAATTGCTCTACAGCTTTTTGCGGAAATGCACACGTAACAGGAATCCCATTCCTGTTATGAGGGGTAATGACGGCTTGGAGATATCGGACAGTACAAATAAGGCTGAGCACTTTTCTCAATTTTTCCGATCCGTTTTCACAAGAGAAGCGGACTTTACCCCATCTAATTCTGAGAACATGAGAGATCCCACTATCGAAAATATTGTGTTTCGAGAAGAAGCGATTTTTGAAGAACTGAAAAGCTTGAAGGAATTTAAATCTCCCGGTCCGGACGAGATTCCAGCAAAGCTGCTCTTTGAGCTTGCCCAACAGCTGGCCAAGCCACTATCCTTTCTGTGCCAGAAATCGTTTGACGCTGGAATTCTTCCCACAGACTGGAAGACGGCCCACATTACACCCCTTTACAAAAACGGTAGTCGTGCTCAGGCGACAAACTACAGACCCGTCAGTCTGACATCAATCTGCTGCAAAGTGATGGAGAAAACAATCAAAAAGGAGTTGATGGCTTACTTGGAAACCCACAACCTCTTGTCCAATACACAATATGGTTTCCGTA